GTGGTATGTACCAAAAACATTGCTCCTGATAAAACATAATCCATTTTCTGTTTCATCTTAGCTTCCTTACTTAGGGTCTTTAAAAAATCACTGGTTCAGACAGAATCAGAGAAACATTGAGAGGGGCCTCTGGAGTTCAGTTAATCTGACTCCTTTCACAGAGCACAAACTTTGGGCACCCCTCCATCCGGTCAGGTACAGCTTTGTGTATCCAAATGTTAGAAATCTCCACGAACACAGACTTTTTGCAGGTCACCTCTAGAGGCTTCAGAGCTCCCAGGAAATAATTTTTTCCTGCTGTCCCAGCTGAATCTCCCAATCTTTGCTTGTACCTGCTACTGGCTACAGTTAAACTCTACCTTAATTTCCACTTCACCCAAGTGAGCAAATCCAGCTCTCCCAGACTCCTCTCCTGCATGCTCTGCAGATTCTGATCCTCAGGGAATTACCAGCTACCTTGTGATTCTGCTAATCCTGTTACATAATTCTAATAATGATTCAATAAAACTGCCTTCCTTCTCAAGATGTTTGCTAATATCAAGGGATTTCTAGGAGGATATTGCATTTTTAATGTATTTGTAAGTGGGTTTACTGAACTGTTCAAAAAAGGGCAAGAAATTGAGAACTTTGCTGGGTATTTCTGAATATTGTGTGCTGAATGATCCATTTTGATAAAATCATCTAATTCAGATATTCAGTGATACTCAATTACAATTTATTTTTTTTAATGTGCTATGTGCTATCACTGATGGGGGAAAAAAAAGTTTGTGCAGGAGAGGGTAAATGCGAGAATGAAAGTTCAGCAGTGTCTGGCTGGTGTCGGCTGCACGAACAGGCACCAGTTTCCAGAAGGTGGCACTGTCCTTCCACAGATGCAGGGTCTGAGGTTCATGGCTTCAAAGGATGCTCTTCTCCAGACTGTATGAACGGTCTGTCTGCTTCTTAAAGCATAAAGCTAATTTCACTCTGTTCAGGATGATTTTTTTTTGCATTTATATGACATCGGGTAATAAAATTGCTTTATTGGCTTAGTTTTTCATTGCAAATTTGAATAATCATACATTATTCCTTCATTATAAATATCTAATTCAAGCAAAGTGTGTTGATGAGGTTTAAATTACTTAGTGGTTTAATTTCCACTTCTCATAAATTTTAAGAAAGTCTTGGGTACAGAAGTTTTTCTGTCTTCCCGGGGCAGAAAGCAGAAGGAAAAAAAAAGGCCAGGAAAAAAAAGCAAGTGTAAAAAGATCCCAGGCTGCAATCTGTGATATATTAAAAGTTATATTTAGAAACTAGATTATTGATGGTCTTTTAACAGGGTACTCAGGCTATTTTGTACACTTGATTTATGTGCTTTTCTTGATACTTTCCCCCCCCCAATTGACACTGGCAGTGTCACTGACAAAATAAGTTACACTGATGTTTTGAATCACTGGGAATGATGCCATTCCCTTTTTTATTTCATGCCTTAGTTGTAAATAGGAAACTATGTTGAAGCATAAATTATTTTTCCCTTAGCTTTTTCTCATGTGAAATAAAAAAAAAAAAAAACAAGCAGGAAGAATCCCATTTATAGAACTGGGGAAAGCAACACAGCTTTGATTTGCTTTACCAGCTGCAATTATTCCATTTGCTGTTGATAAATATATTAAGAAATGGAACAAAACTCTCCATCCCTGAGACCAGCACACAGCTCTGGGGGTGTCACCAGATGGGAGGGGTTTGTGTCACACCAGCAGGGCATTAAACCAAAGCTGAGGGCATGTTGCAAACGTTCAGAGCTTCTGGGCTCAAACTGAACTGGGAATTTACTGTTAAATTCTCTGAAGCTGAGGAGGAGTTGTGGGTCCAATGTGCTTTGTCCCCCTGTGAGGAGTTTGTTTGTGGGACACCTTTGGCAGCCCTGGCTGTGCCCAGCAGCGCAGCCTCTGTCCTTGGGTGTCCCTGTCCCCTCAGTGGGCCCAGCTGCTGCTCACTGAGCTTGTTCTGCCCGCTCTCAGTGCCTGCCCTGGCGGGTGGGTCTCCTTTTGGGACACTGCTCCTGCTGGGAATCCTTTGGGCACATCTTTGTGCTCTGATGTCCATCAGAGTTGTCACTGTCAGCGGTTCTTGTGAGCCCTCAGTAGATGGATTAGGCTGAAATTGTCCCTGTCACTCTGTGTGGAGTTGCTGATGATGGATGCAGTTGTGTGTTTTGTTCTCATCCTGGATGTGAGTTCCTGGCTGTGTCCCTTCAGGGGCAGGCACCAGGCACAGCACAGGGACCTCGGGGTTGGCTGCCATTTCTGTCACCTCTGCTTCCATCTCAGCCCTGGCCATGCCAGCACTGCCAGGGTGTGGGGAGTGCACTCTGCTTTAGCTGGGAGAGGAGATGCCTCAGCACAACTTGTGTTCCCAGGCTCTGGCAATGGAGCAGGGCATTGGTGTTAATCAGCCCCATTTCCTTGCAGGACTTTGCCCTGACAGAACATTTGCAAGGGAAATACAGGCTGGATATAAGGAAAAAAAATTTTTACAGAAAGGGTGATAAAGTTCTGCAATGGTCTGGCGGGGAGGTGGTGGAGTCACCATCCCTGGATGTGTTAATAAAAGCCTGGATGTGGCACTCAGTGCAAGGTTTAGTTGAGGTGCTGGGGCTGGGTAGGACTCGATGATCTTGAAAGTCTCTTCCAACCTGGTCATTCTGGGAATTTTGCATTGCAAAGTGAGGGGTTTGGATCAGTTCACAATGTCCTGGCATGGAACTGAACTAAAATAAATTGTGTCATGGTTTAAATTCAAGCCTGTACTGGAACTGAGTAGAAGCATTTGTGTGGTTTGATTTCTTCATTGTAAATGTGCATCATTTCCTACGTTGCAGTGTGTCTTTGCTCCCAGCCCCTTACTTGGTGAGCAAGATTAAAAACTGTAGTGATGATTAGGCTGTAAATGGGTCATAAGGCAATTTAAATGCCAGAACCTGATGTTCACACAACTGTATTTCTTTAAAGGTCTTTTCAAAACCCTTTTGGCATTTGTATTAACTGAGATAACTTTCATCTTATACAGTAGATTTTCTAATAATTCACATTAATTTAATTTGAGAAATTAATTTGGACAGCACTAGAAAGAATTTGGCAAGCACTCCATATCTTAATGTATATTTTGTCATCTGTACGGTGCACAAATACAAGAAACCCAGTGTTTATTCAACAGTGTGTCTTGACAGATCATTCAGGTGCTGTTGTGAAAGAAAAAAAAAACAATTTCTTCTCTTCTTAAAACAAGTAGAACTTCGTTTTGAGAACAAAATTCTTTAAACTTGTAATTAGTTGGGAAATGTCTCAGGATCAGGGAATGCCTTTCTCAGATCACATTACTGGTTAGTGTTAGTACTGAAGTCAGTGTTGCCTGTGTACAACTGCTGTATTAATACTCCTATCTTGTGTATATATTTATATATTTTATATGGAAGGAAGGATTATTCTTTGCATTGAATTCTAATACTTGATTACTGGTTAAAATGTGTCACTTCGTTGTTGAAAGTACACTAAAAAATCCATCAAAATGTAGGAATTGTTCATGTTGCTTAATTGCACTATGCAGTTAATAGCCAGTGTAAATTGACGTTGCTCCAACAGAATGATGGGAGTTGTGCTCTTTGATCAATTGATCCTGTTTTGAAATGATTTTCAGAAATAATAGTTCATGTTTTGAATAATTTCATACAAGCTGCCTAACTACTTCTCTGGTGAACTCTGGCAATGGGCAAGGACAGTAAATTGTAAACCTGATAATGGTTGAGTAAAGCAGAATGTGAAATAGAGATTCATTTTGATTAAGACTTCCGGCAGTGCTGTGTGGTGATTCACTTGAAAACACAATAATATTTTTTATCTGGAATAATTTCTTTTCCAGAACAGACATCTGTGGGCAGCAGTAACAGCAGACAAGATACTGGAAAAACTGAGGAAGTGCAATGAATTTCTGGAAATAATTCTCAAGGGACTTAATAAATACTTAGAGAAAAAGCATCTGGTTTTCCCCAGATTCTTTTTTTTTTTTTTTTAATTGAATTAGGAACTCCTTGAGTTTTTTTCAAAGACCAAAGACCTTAATTGGTATGGAAGTATTTAGTAGGGATCCTGTTAAGTAATATAACCTTTGCTGTAAGGAGAGCAGCATACACAGACTTGACAGTGTGCAGTGACTGCAGTGCAAAGTCGTACAAAAACAAGAACAGAAGCGGAAACCGGAATGCTGGTTCAGTGCCAGAGAAACATCCCTACAGTGAAAGAACAGGACAAGAAATATTGTGAGGAAAAAAATCTTAAAGGTCTTGGTTTTGTTTGTTTGGTTTTTTTTGATAATGGAGAACTATTGTGTTAAGATTGTGCCTGGTTGCTCTACTCAATCTCCTTAATGTTTGCTATTGCTGGGAAGGTATAAATAATAATTTTTTATGGACTGGAGGTGGATTAGCTGTAGAAGAGAGAATTCTTGTTTCTTCTCATTAGTTTATGTGCTGAGACTGAAAGTAAAGTTTTACATCTTTAAACTGATCTTCAGTAAATACTCTGGTAAGCATCTTGCAGAGGGTCGGACACAAGAATTATTGCTGAGGATAAACCTTTTTTTTAAATCCAACTTTAAATGGTCTTTTAGGTAAATTGTTCAAATGTTTTTCTTAATGATATATTCTTAGGTAGTATTGGAAAGAATAAAATGGAGCCAGTAAAAGAACATGGGTATTTCCTGTGTTGCAGGAATTAGGTTGTGTATGCTGTTTTGTTTGCAGATATGTGCCACTGATGTTTTACATTTGGGTTTGTAAAAGAAAAAAAAGCATCTCAGGCCCCTGTTGGGCTACTGGTGAATGAAGGGCATTGTACTGGTATCAGAAGGAACTATTTAATACAGAGAAAGAAATAAAAGTAATATAGTAAAAAATAAGAAATACAAGAAAACAATCACGCCTAAGACCAGACATTCCACTTCTTAAATTTTACAATTTTTTGCAGGCAGCAGAGGATTTTCTGGGACAGGATAACAGACAGACTGAGGACACTGTCACCTTGGTGTGAGCAGAGCTGGCTAAGCAGAATTGAGTGACTGTGGGAGCACTTGTTGAGCTTGGTGCTCATGCTGAGGATGTTCTTGCATCTCTGGTAAGCAAAAAAGGCAAAGATGAGAGTGACTTTGAATGGTTAAGTCAGCTTAGGTGCTGCTGGGAGGTGAGTGATACCTCTCAATCCTATTAGAAGGTAATTTCTGTTCACAGTTTTTCAATTTCTGCTTGCTTGCTCACACAGGGAATGGTTACACTACAGTGAGAATTTCTGCTGATAAGAGAATACCTGGAACAATCATTTTATGGATTGCTAACTAGAATGGCCGGTAGCCAGACGTAAACAGTTTTTAATTAAAATTACTTGCTTCATCTCTGCTGAGTCTCAGTGCATTTGCTGAATTTGCAGGGAATGTTACAGACAGGATTTGTTGACTCAAAGACTGTATTTTGGTTTTGTGATGCTGCAGGAAAAAGAATGCTATAGGGATGACAATTTCACTTAAAGATTTTAATTTACTTATAATGCACAAATGAAATAATATTGACAGTACTTACTGGAAAAATATGAGTGCTTTCACTAGAGAGTGGTAGCACACAATGTTTTACATAAATCAGGACAAGGTCTCTTGTAATACAAAAGACATTTTATGTGAAATATAAAATAATAAAATAAAAAAGTAGGGGTCATGCATTAACCATAACTACAATTATTGGCCATGATTGCTTCTGTTTATCTTTTAGAAAGTCCATTAATTTCCTCAATAACTAGACAAGACAGCTTTACTCTGCAATCCTGTGAGGAGGATCTTATTTTGGGTAATGTTTAGTTTAAAAACCAATGGTTTTGTTTGATACTTTATTATCTATTGATTGGTATTTTTTTCTTTCTTTGGCTTACATTGAAAGGAGTGTCTCAGCAGTCATGCAGTTGTTTCCAACAGCATTGTGCCAAAAAAAGTGAGTTTTTTTTGTTTTTCTTTAAATGGGTCATAACCATGGAGTTTTATGATATGTAAGTATGTATTAAAAAATAGTTACATTTCATTAAAAGGATTGGTCTATCAGTTCAATTTAACAGCAAAGAAGAGGTGAAATTACTGGTGGGATACTTATGCAAATAACCAATGGTACAGATCAATTCATGTAAGATACCTGATAAGGTGCAGGGCCTGATTTCCAGCTGTGAATTTTTCTAGGAAGGCATGGAAGCAACAAAGTTAACATCCTCTTAGAGTGCTGCATAAAATTGGGGCATTCTTGAAATGTCCTTGGAGGTTTCTGATAGTCCCATCCAGCCCACAGGATATTTTTTGGTAGGCATACCTTTGATGCATTGAAGTGTGGTGTTTTGGTGCTGTTTCTGATTTGGAACATCTGGAGCTGAGAGCTGAGCAGTAAATCTGCTCTGGGCACCAAGGTCAGTGTGGCCCTTGGAAGCTGAGTCATAGCAGGCTTTTGTTTGGCATACCATTGTCTGAGAAGGTCTTTGTTACTCAGCTAAAAGGTTGGTAACTGCATGCTTGGGGGACTTCCTAATTTGGGAACAGCTACTAATATCGTAATACCTGCTGTTAGAAAAGTATTTTAATAGGGGGACTTTAAAGAACTGCAACTTACACCAATATGAGAGAAAATTTTTGACACGGCAGATAATTTTTATCTGTAAGAACTTTTGGATGTCAAGATTAGCCTGACTTTGAATGTTTTTGAGCACCAAACCCTGCCACTGAATTCAGCTGAAGAACTTAATGTCTACTTATTTCAGAAAGCAGATCCAGGCTAATGAAAATTGCTAAAAATGAAGAGAATCTATTTGAGGATAGATTTTGGATATTACCTCCATTTCCCCTTTTCCTTCAATGCACTTACTTTAGCACTAGAAATACTACAGATATAGGGCATTGATTGTACTTCTGGAAGCAAAACTATATGTTGAAATTGGAGGATGTATGCTGGCATTCTGATTGTATATGTAATTTTTTTCAAGTAATTACTGTGTTAATAATTCAATCACTCAGGCTAAACAGTCGACAAATGTTAATGAATTCAAGACTTGTACAGTTCATCCTCCATTTCACTTTTACACAGCTTTGATCAAAATTCTTTTTGAACTAATGGAAAGATGATTAGCATTTTAAAACTAAATAATGATAGCTTTTAATTTTGAAAGATGAGATAGAATCTACCTCAAATTGATGGTACATATTATGCCTGTAGTTGTGAGTTTATGGCTGGATATTAGGACTACAGGAACTGTATAAAATGCAACTCAGGCTTTTTGTAACAACAAATTTTTTCAAAAGCAGAATTAGTGAGCAATCCAAGGATAATTTGCAAACATACCCAGTGACTGCTTATGCATTCCTGTCAATGAAGAAGGATTTTATAGCTGATGAAAGCTGTGTGTGTTGGGCTGATATTAGAGAACCATTCTTTAATTATTCAAATACTAAGTCTGAAGCGGGATATGCTGAAAAAAATATGTGACTGAAACTTTGAAGTAGGGAAAGAAATAATGCAGGTTTTAGCTGAGTTTTACCCAAATGCTAAATTCCTATTTCTAGACTGTGCTTAACATGCAGCTTTCCTGTGTTCAGTTCAGTCTGCAATTGCTGGTAGCAGCTTATGTTGAAAATGTAACCTGGCTCCATCTCCCTTGGGTCTCTCTTTGGGCACTGACAAGTGACTGAGCCACGTGGAAATTTGGGAGCTCAGCAGTTCTTCCAGCACATTTCTGACCCACTGCTGAGCACTGTGATGTGCTGTGAGAGTCTCTTTCTATCCCTGCTGATGCTGCTGCCTCATCTGACAGACACTCAGGTTTCCAATCCCTATTGCTTCTCCAGAACTATGGTGCTACTCAATTTTCCCTTATCTGTGTTTATCAAATCACTCTTTACGAAGTTCACACTTTATTGATATCATGCTGTGCTAGTGGGTTGTAAATGTGTTTTCTGAATCTCTGAAAGCATTTTACCTGTGAAAGCTTTCTTCTCTTGTGGGTAGGCTGCACAGATTCCCTTTCAGATGTTTTCTTGAACCTTTCTGAAAGGGAGAAGGAAGGCATCCTCCTTCAGCTGCTGATGGGCCATTCCCAAGTACAGTCTCTGATCCATAACAGAGAAGGTTGCTGCCATTTCTCCACCAAAACTTCCTCTCCTAAATTTAGGCTTTCCTCCACAATATCCATTTTCATTAGTGGAAAATTCCCTTTGTTTTTACTTGAAAACAGTCACTTATGCATGCAACTGTATTAAAGCTGTTCAAAATTTCAGAGGGATATTATTATTTTTAATTAAATATAAAACTAAATGTGATTAAACTTTCTAGCAAGTAAGAACTCTTATTCTAAATACAGTCTCTCAAAGAGGAAAATTGTTTTTTGTAAACAAAGAACTTTAGTGTTCATCCCTCTCCTCTTAAATTGCACTGAGTATGTGCCTGCTATGATTTCATCTGCTTCTGCTGTAATGACAGAAGGGAATAAATTGCCTTAAAAAGCACTTTGAGGTAAACATTTGAAGAGCTGATATTTCAATTTTGAAAGTTTGTATTTTTCCCTTTGGTAATGCAAGAACATGGCCTCTGCTGATGGCTCCTTAGGGAGCTATCAAACAAACGAATAAAGAACATGGAAAAAGCCAATAGTTTGCATATAATCAGAGGCCCTCAGTTTATTACAACACTGGAAAAGTGCATTCAGTTTGGCAGTGCTGGAAGGTTGATGACTAAAGAAAGTGTAAATTACAGAAGGACCTGGAGGGGGCACAATTAGCTAAAAAATGAAAGTAGTGAATATCCAATGTTCTTGTAGTTAAGGGAAGTAGATATGTTTTTTCTCTCCTTGTTTTGAATCAAGTGAGTACTACTGAAACCCTCACTCCAAGTTGTACTTAAAACTATACTAAGTTACTTCTTAGCACAATATAATACTTAGTTAAATTTATTTAATTGTTTTATGAGAATTGCCATTTCTTTTTTTTCATGTCAGAATAATAGTATTTCTACACATTATCTTGCTGGAAAATCAGTTAAGGTGACAATTTTGAAAATAAATGTACAACTCTGTTTCAATTTTAAAGCAATTCCTTGGCTAAAACTTGGGAAGAATTCCTGGCATTTGTTTATTCCTCCTCCCCTGCCAACATTTTTTTTTACACTGCTGGGTGACTGGTACCACAAGTGTTGGCATTTCTCATGTCTAATACTTCACCTTGCAATTCTGACATTCTTTCATCCTGTCAGGAATTTATTTAATTAATTACTTTTATCACCTTTCCCAGCTTGGATCTCCTGATGCTAGTTGCTCACCTTTTTAATAAAAATATTTACAAGACTTAATACAGGAGTCACCTCACATGCAAAAGCTACATTGGGCTTTTTTATCTGTAGTTAAGTTTAGCAGAACTGTTTAAGATATTGCTAGTAATCATTTTAGCCAGAGCTTGATATTGTGGGATCATATTTGAATGTACCTTTGAGGTAACCTTTACCACCAAGGCAGTCTGTACTCTATAAATCTAACTCTTTTACTATCTGACATCTCAAGAACTCCCCTGTATCCCTGTGTGTCTAAATTAGAGTATGCAATAAATAAAATTAGCTCATTTTGATTCTGAACCTTTCCTTCAGCAGAAATACAACGATACAGAGCCTGAATGCCAGCTGCCAGAGTGGATTCCACCAGCATCCCCAGGAATGGCTGGTGTGAGCCCTTTTTGGTGATGCAGCACTCCAGCAGAGCCCAGCAGCAACTGAGGAAAGGCACAAGAGCAGCAGAGCAGAGGTGGGCAGCCCCACAGCAAACTCTGTGAATGAATAATTCACAGAGCCCTCTTTGCTGCCTTCACTAGTCAGGCTCTTTTTACAACAGGCTCTATGCTGAGATTCTTTTAACCATTCTTTCCTCATTTAAACCATGTTACTTTTGTGACTTGAAAAAAATTTACATTTTGTCCCACAGTCATCTTTGTGTCAGTATTTTGTGCATAAATTGTATGTACATCCATTTAACTGATGAGGAGCCATAACTTTGAAAGGACTTAATGCTAATAATAACTCAGTAGTTATTACAGTAATAATATTTAAAATTATCCATTTCTTGTTAACTGAATAGAAGAAAACAGAAATAGATTGAAACACAGATCAAACAACATAGCTTGCTCTCATTCTTGATCTGTCAAAAGCTTTACACTTTTTAATGATAATAGATTACAATTAGGTAATTACCATTACCTAATTTTAATGACAGTAGATTACAATTAGGTCTCAGAATGATCACCATGCCTGAAATAATGATCCTTAGAGTAGCTGTCTGCCAAGGGCTTGGTGATCTAGGTAATTGGGAAAAAGCCACAGAGATTTTCCACATCTTTGTTTCTACCTAGAAAAAAGAATTTGAAATAGTTTCTGCAAATTCTTACACTACATTTCAAACCACCTGAATGGAGTTTACCTTAGTTTGTCTGAGATATTCAAGGTATTCAGACAAAAAAATTCTTCTATCTTACCCTTCATATCTGACCATAACCACTTTGATGTCCAGGTAACACTTTTGCCAGTTCACTTTTCTTACTGCTAATTTAAATGATGAAAACCTATCACCAATATTCAGTCAAGTGACCCAGGACTTCTTAGACTCTTTAAAAAAAATTAATTGTGCATTTTTTTCATTGTAAATATCAAGACTTAGAAATACTTCTTAATTAAAGAAACAGCATAAAGTATGCAGAGAGAGAAAGAATGGATTTTTGGTAGGAAATGCTCATAAAAAAGGTATAATGAGAGACATTAAAGGAACTAAAATGTTCCAGCTTCTTCACTTGAGCAGATTGCAGGAAATGGGCAAGTAATGAAAACTAGGCTTTCTTTGGCCATTTACCAAACAAAGATACAGCAAGCTGAGGACTTTAGTTCTTTGGGAAATAGTCACTTCATGGATTGATGTATCAAGTTAAGGGATAATTTACTCTCAAACTAGGGAATTCACAAATGCTTTGAAGAGCGTTGAAATACATGTTTTTAAGATCTCCAGCATGAGGATTTTCTTACAGAGTGGAAAGACAAGTCAGGGGAGTTCCAAAAGCTGCTGTTCATTCACTGCCTGAGACCTGACAAACTAGTGTACAAAACTTTCACCTTACTGAGAAAGGTCTGTCTGCATCTTAAAACCAAAAATATTTGCAAGCATGCATGCACTTGTATTCTACAACAGTCTCTCATAAAGGAAAACAGAAAAACATAAGATTTTTAAAAGAACTCCAGCAAGTTTGAAATTGTAATGAAAAGCTTTTAAAAACAGATTAGTAGGACTTCAGCTTTTGTTGTTTTAGTTGCACACCAAAATATCCAGAGACTTGTGCCTACACCTTGTGCCTACCCTTACAGTCCACCTGCAGTTTTTGCTGGATGTCTTGGTGTCAGTTTGGTCTGACCTAGAGAGACACTTAGGGGTGAGCAGGAGTGCAGCCAGTGCAGGTGCTTAAGCAATTGTTGCAGACACACAGATCCACCGAGTTCCTTGCAAAGTGTGTTGAAGCAGAAGTGATTTGAGTCTAGGTATAAGGTTTTAACACAGATCACAGAAAGCACTCTTGTTGTAAATCTTTATTCAAAAAGAAATAAGTCAGCTTGCTAAAAACCAGAATAGAAGTATTTGCTCAGACACTTTTCACCCGCTGGCAGGGCAGTGGAAGTACTCTTATCTCCACACGCAGCAATAACAAGGAAGCACACGGTGAGAGCCAGCCCACCTCTGGCTGTGCTCACTCCTGATCCAGGGGCAGTTCTCTACACACACTTCCTCACACACCCGCTCAGCTTTGGATTCGCACTCAGACCCAGACAGGGATGTTTGCACCAAAGAAAGAGACCCTCGTAGAGCCGGAGGTCACAGCTCACTTGTCGTGGGCTCCTTGGGGCCGGAGGCTGAGCCTCCCGGCTCCTGGCCTGCAGGCTCATCCTCGACAGGCGGCGGTGCCGGCAGCGAGGCCCCGGAGCCGAAGTAATTCACCAGCCTCTGCCTCGTCGCCGCGACTTCTTCTTCAAAAGCGTTTATTGTGCGGTTGCCAACTTCGCGCTTGAATCAAAGCAAGAGATTGAGCCGTTCAGCGGGGCAGTTTAGCTCCCTAGTTCAGCCACATTCCAGCCCCCTCTCCTCAGGCTGCATTCGGGTGTCAGTGTTTCACGACAGCAATCGTACCCTGGTCAGCCCAGTGCACAGCCCTCCCAGCTATCCGTGACATATCCTTGGGGCTGAGTGTCCCCACCTGAGGCTGCTGCTTCAAATGTTTTATATACTTAGAAATACAGCCATATAATGGCCAAGACCCATATTGAACCTTGAGACATTGCTCTAAACCATTCACAGTTCAAGTTAGGTAACACCACTCTTAGTCCTCCTTCTAAGATATCACTGTGCCATATGATGCTATTTTTTTGTACTTTAATCTGTTGCATAGTGACCTTAAATGCTTAACCTTGGCAGTCACCAGGTATATATTTAATACAGAATTTAATTATTTAATTATTATTTAATTATAATTTAATTATAATACAATTATTTAATTATTTATTTAGTATATTGAATTATTAGCAAGGCAAAAGTCATTTGTGCAAACCCACCAACAACTAATAAGCAGAACCTTTTACTGTTCCTCATCAGGGAACTTGGTTCACTTGATTCCTACTGTCCATAGGATTAGGGCTCACAGAGCAGCTGATCTTGACCAACTGAGCTGCTCAGTTGTGTGCTTTTTTACATGTCAGCACTGTGGCATGAAACCCCGAAATGGGGAGGAGTAAAATATTAGAAATGAGGTTTAAAGTTTAATTAGGCAGATTTATATGTTAAACTGGATATGTGAAGCAATAATCTGGTCAAATTTGGTCTTTTTGCGTATGCTGTTCATCCCTCCTGAGAATGATAGAGCTGCTCATTGTTGAGTTTTGTGCTTTGATTATTGCACCCTATATTTTTTTTTTGTCTGCTGTGATGAGTTGTTGGAAAAACACTTCTAAAGGAAACAGGTGTGCATTCAAAAGCCAATAAATTACCCTGAGAAGTGCTTAGGTGCAGATTTCTTAGCCAATAATGCACATAAATTATTACTTCAGAATAAGTCATGTTCTAGCCTTAGACAATCATTCCAGGCTGATGTTTGGAAATGTTAGCAAGAGAAGTTGTTGTTATATTCTAGCTTTGCGTTTCAGATGATGTGGCTAACACTTACAATGAAGGTCTTCAGCCGTGTCAGCTCCAGCATGTAGTATTCCTCCATTGTCAGATCATCAAAGTGCTTGGGAAGGGCTAAAAAGTCACAGGTGCGACGTTTGGTGTGTTCCTCCCTGCAGTATAAACCCACAATAAGAACAGATATTAAACCCACAGAAGTTTCATTTCAGGAGAGGAAGAGATCTTTACAGGCACGTGTCTTCAGTATTTGTGCTGTCTATCAGCAGAAATTATATCATACAGAAAAGATGCAATAGATTCTAGTGGATCTCAGATAAAAGCTAGTTGAACAATTTCACAGTTACTGGGGCAAGATAAGCTCCTACTTTTGTGCACTGTCATAGTGGAAATCGACAGAGACATTAACTCATTGTAAAATTACTAAATGGTTACATCTGTGCTTACCATGGGTCATCATTTGGTTCCCAGCCCACCAGTTCTAACAAGCAAAAGAAACATTTTGCTGTATCTGGTTCACTTGCACTTGGGCAGTGGATGAAGCCAGCCTTTGCCATCTGCAGGGGACAGTTCAGAAGTTTAGAGCATTATCCCACACACACTACTCATATTTCCTGACAATTCAGAATCATATCTAGTCAGGACACTAAAAATTAAGTTTGTTTCAATAACCAAACACCTTCTCAGTTAACTCTAGCAGTATGACTCATCTGACACACTCAGGTTGGCAGTGTCATGTGTGTGCCAAAGTAGAGGTGAGGTGGATTTTTTATTTAAATAATTTCCATTTCTGAATTTGAAGTAGTGATCAGTCCACTTTTTACTTTATCATTCCACTACTTTATCCTTCCTGCTGGATCCATACTTAATGTAGGCTGCTTTGTCACAAATAGAAATTTGCAATTAGAAAGACTATGCAATACAAGAAATTAATTTTCAAATGACAGGAACAAAACAGACAAAAAAAAGGGAACACTGTGGACTGAACACAAAAAAATCAGTCAATCCCAATTACAGTATTTCTGAGCAAGGAACAGAGGAAAGCTGAGTATTTAACTTTTAATCTTCAGGTGTAGTGGACTTCTCTTGAACCTGAATATACTTAACAATGACTTCACATTCAGGCACAGCATATACAAATTAAGGCAGAGGCAAAAGAAGCATTTTCAGACTTACATTCTCTGGAGTGCACTTGCAGCCTTCCTGGAAGGGCCACTTGGTGAAGGTTTTCAGACGGTTCTCATACTCATACATCTCCTTGTAGTCAATTAAGAGCTTGGAAGCTGAGCTGAGCTCCTGCAGCAGCCTCTCCATCTCTGCAGTCAGCCAATGGCAGAGCCCCCTCCGGCTCTCCCATTTAAAGCCTTTGCTAATGGGTGACACATTGCACCTGGAGAGCAGGGGAAGGCCTGACAGAGCCTCAGTCCCTTCCCGACACAGGTGAGTTCATGGCAGGACAATCAAGGGAAATGAAGCTGCTGGAATTTCTTCCCCTTGTGTCACAGTCTGTGTCCTTGATCACACAGGACACAAACATTTTTTAACAGAGAACTTTTAAACTTTGCTTTTTTAACTGAATGCACCTATGGTAATTGCAGATTTTACAGTTAAAATGTCAAAAATTGCAAGTTAAAAACTCTAGTTACAAATACAGAAACTTTGCATATAAAGTTTTAAAAAATACTATCCTGATTGCAAGCAAAAGGGTTGAATTGACATTGCTATTGAATCCTTCAGGCTTTCTTCAGTTTCACATTCAGAGATTAATTCTTAGGATTGTCTTTGCAAGTAGTGTTGCATTTCTTTAAAGAGAAAGTGGTTATTTTAAAATATTATAAGTATTCAGTTCTATTTTAAGATATTATAGAGCATGGCCAGATGCTAGATAGTAATATTTTAAAGGTGTATATCTGGAGGAGCTCACAGTATCAAAGCATTGTCATTTTATAAACTGTCTCCTATTTTGGTACAGAGTCCATTTAAATTCAGTAGAAGTTTAAACATCAGTGTCTTCAAGACTGCTGCATGCAGCAGCTTTCCAAGCCAAGATCTTAACACCTCTGAAGGATGTTGCATTGTGAGACTTGAAAATTTAAATCTTCTCTGAAATACAAATGGAGTAAGTGCAGAAAATAATCCAGCCCATTATTCTGTCCAGATGTGGTGACTGAAATGAGATTAAAGAACATTTGTATGTTTTTGCCTAGAGTTTCAAATGGTACATCATTGATTCCTCTGGGACTGTACTGATGTCTATTGTATATGCAGGAATGCTGTCCTTGAAATTTATATTCAGATTTTTAGAGTAACATGTGTTACATGAAAATAGGATACTTTAATTCTTTTTTTTTTTTTTCTTTTGCCAGATAATACCAATGGTGCAGGAATTTATCATTCATAACCTGGGCCCTCCAAGCACTGATATTATTAGTTTCTCCTGACTCCATGGCAGCCTTTCTTAAGTTTGCTGATGATCAGGTATTTTAATCTCTTTTTTACTGTAGTTGATGTCTGTGTGTGTATGCATGTGTGAATGTATTTGTATGAAGCAAGGAACTTAATTTAACTAAAAGTTGAAATGCCAAACCAAACCCAAAACTGGGTTTAACTGCCCAAAAACATGGTCAAGTTTTTAAATCTCAAACTTCTCTTTAATGTAAGGCACTAATTCATGCATATGGATTGTTTTCAGGAATGAATAATTTGTCTGTTGTTTAAAAGAAACCGTAGGTTAAATATTTTGGTGTATTTTATCATCTTGTGATGTCATGATCTATTTAACTAATTACTTTGTGTCATTTCAAATAGAAAATGCAAAAATGGGACAAAGCTGTAATATTTTAAATGTTTCTTGTAAGCAGTATTATCTGAAAATGCTGTTTTTTCAAAAATGCATTATGTGTAATGTATTATTTAATCAAAACCACCACAGTCATATGGGACCTTGGAGTCCTGAGTGATATTTATGCATCAGAATTGAAATTTCTTTTTTGCTTTGATTGTTTTTATGGCATTTAAAGCAAACAAACAAAAAATTCCCAGCAGCCCAAATCAGTTCTTATGTAGAAAAGTACTGCTAGAATACTAGAAAATAGGATTATACATGTACTAACACATCCTAAGATGTATTTCTTGCAATTCGTGCCTATGATTCTGTCATAATTCCGTGCTGTTAAGAATGACAGGTACATTTCAAGTCTACCTGTAAAGGTGTCCTGCATTTTATAGTAGGTTGTCTACATCCTTCAAGAGAATGCTGTTTGCAGAAAAGTTCTGAAACTGTCAGAATTTCATAGGTCCAGATTAAATGGATGGGTAGTTGGAGCTTTTCACTGGAAGATACATAAAAGGTGGCATGACATGAAAGAAAAGATTTAAATTGTGTTTTAAACAATACAGTACATTAAATATCTGATATCCACTATCAGATCCTGACTTTTACAGTAAGTGCAGAATACCTGTGAGTAGTGTTGCAACTTTGCAAATCAGTTAAAGCCAACCCTGATGAAAGTGTGTCTATGATCTAGGGGAAGAGAGGCTCAGAAATGAAATAGTTGTCTTCCACTGCAAGGAAATAGTTTCAACTACTGCCAATAGTGGAGTGCATTTATTTTTTATTTTCTTGCTTTTCTCATACTTAATCAATTGAAACTTGTTGCTGTGGCATTAATAAAAGGCTCTCTAGGTGTTTTTTTTTTTAAGAAAAAGGTAACACTGGGAAAACCTATCCACTGTTTCAATAATTGAATGTGTGTTTGCAATCACATTTTACATTAATTTGCATTATTTTTCTATAATTAATGTAGATTATCTAAATGAGACTGTATTTAGCTAGATGGTTTCAACTGAAAACCAAATCAAACATTTGTACCTGATGTCTTTGGCCAGAAATAAAATTTGGTAAAGATAAAAAAAAAAAGCTGAAATATAATATGAACAATATTTTATAACACAGTGGTGTTAAAAAATGTATGGGTGCATAGTCTCATACATACATTGTACCTAATGCATATTAATTAATTCTACACGAATAAATAGCTATAAAAATAAAATTGTTTAGAGATTTCAAGAGACTCTGGAAATGATGCTCATGACCATTTAAAGACCTCCTGCTGAAGGCCTTTGGTTGCCAGGAAAAGGTTTTCCCTGACTCACACAGTGTGGGAGCAGGAAGAAGCTGGGCTCTGAGTGGCTCAGCTCTGCTGTGCAGGACAGGAGAAAAGAAATGAGCTGTTCCTGCAAGGTGCAAAATATCCTACTGCCACCCCTGCTGGCTGGCTGGGATTTATTCAGCGCCAGGGGCAAGAGCAGCCCCTGGCAGAGTGAAACCAGCTGGGATGCAGCAGAGGGGCTCTGGCAAAGGGCGTTTCCTGTTTGCCACAGCAGCCTCTCAGCAATTTCCCAGCAATACATGGCCCTTCTTCATGGTCCAGCTTCCCAAGCAGCCCAGCATGGCCAAAGGCTGCTCAAGTTATGGATGGGCAGGAACTGGGGTGTTGCTGTCACTGTCAGCCTGCAGTGATTTTGGTTACTGATGTGCTTAAACAGGCACATTCCAGCAATAACGCGATGAGCAGGCAAGTGGCTCAAGCAGCTGCACAGAGGTGTTTCTTTCCTGAAGGAGAGTGGGGGGTGGGGGGTTGTGAGGGGGATGCCCTCCTATTACATGACCAAATGTTCTGAACAAATGACAAATGTAGTTCCTAGCATGGAGAGAACATTTTTTTTGCCCTGAAAGATAATGATTTGTATGTAGTAAACATTTACTGATACTTTTTTGGACTGGTTTGCTTTATCCCAATCCTCAGTGCATCACCTACTCATGCCCTTCCTGCAAGTAATTTTCTTTTATCACTCATAATTTTTTCTTTTTATGCATTTAAGAGGAGTCCAGCTTCTCCCAACCTCAAGAATTCAAGCATGTTTGATTTTCTAAAAAAATAAATAAACTATGAGCCCAGCTATGGCCTTGTGATAGCAGACATTTACTTTAGAAAGATGTCGAACAAGTAGAGATATTTTTAGAAAAGTTTTCCATAAACTTGTATCCAGGGAGTTTCAACTGTATTACTATGGAAATTTTTGGTGCTATTACTCTTCAAAAGCAGCAATGGCTGGGTGACTTGAGGGATGATTATTAAAAAGTATTTGAAGGGCTGGAGATGAAATGGTTCAAGCATGAGCTAGCAGAAGTAATTAACAGCTTTTGAAGTTTCCAGTGAGAATTCTGGCTGCCTTCCAAGTGAATTACAGTGCTAGTGATAGGGCTGCCCAGTGATAGGCAAGTGCGGCGCTGCTGCTCAGATCTCTGTCCTGTTCTCCTGCAGGAGCTGCCACAGTGCTCCTCACTGTGATGGGGAATGCAGTTACGGTGCCAGAGGCATTGACAAGTGTTCTGAAGATGTTATTTTCCTCGGAATTCATTACAAATGTCAATGATGTACTTGATCCAAGTGGTGTTTATTTTGCCTCTCCTGAAGGAGATGTCGGAACAACAGAATTACCAACAGCTTTTTTTATTTTCTTTAATAGGTGCATCTTTACTGAAACTGATGTGCCTCAGTGTTTACTCAGTCACTGTTTGCTTGGTGGCTTAATCTTATCTTCTCTCAGGCCTTGTTTCAGTGACTTCTAAGAAAGGGACATTATGTAAACACCACCCAATTACTGCCATCTAAATTGACTCTGTGTGAGTCAGCACTCAGGGGACAGTAAGTGAGAAACACAGCCCAGTGAAGTTAAAAGCATTTTAAAATAGGCATAAGAGAAATAGTTCATTATGTTTACTGGAGGCAGAAAGGCCACCATAATCAGCTTAATTTATCAGACAGGAGTTGTGTCAGTCTCAGCAAAACACCTTCAGGCACTTGGCAGGCAGTGGGCTCAGAGAGGGGCAGCAGCCCCTTACCCTTGGTATGTCATTTTTACAGAATTTTTGCCAGCTTCCAGAATTTTTCAGGAATTATATCTTTGTATAATTTATATCTTAGTTAACACACTTTATTAATCACTCCAAGAAAGCCTGTAGTGGTTTTGAAGTACAGCTTGTGGCCTCTTGTGGGATGGTTGGCTGCTTCTACATAATTTTTTTTTTTGCTCTAGAGGTTTTTTCTCCCCACCTTTTCTCAGTACTGAAGCTGTACTGAATATACAAAGACACTTGCACAGAATCCTTTCCCAGAGATCTTTGGAATGAGCACAAATGCTGTTACCAAGGGTCAGTCAGGAACACAGCTGCTATTTGATGACATTCTTACACAGGTATGATGCAAAGCCACACACACCTTACCCTGATTTTCTAGTGTATATCCATGTTAGTATGCTCACATTCCCTCCTGAGTTTTCACTGTACTTTATTGTGTTGTATCTCTATTCCAGTGAAATTACTTTTCCACTTAAGAATGTTTTAAGGCCTTTTTTGGGGAGGGTCTATTTTTTCTGTCTGTCTGAGGAAACATTTTGTGACTGCATAGTCAGTTTACAGATCTACTTCCTCCAGCTTTTAACAGTTTTCAACCCTTGGCCACTTCTAGTCCAGTGTGGTACAGTAGTGCCACCACAGTTCAGGAATAAAAAAAAGCACATCTGTAGGCAACTGGTTTTTATTAGTTCTAAGCCAAAAACTTTTACTGCAGTAATAGAGGGGATTCTGCTGCTTCAGAGGCAGCAGTGCCACAGTGAATGAAACAAGAATAGTGAGGAGGGTTTGCAGGTACTAAACTCTGCTCTGGGCAGACCATGTTTTTGAAGGATGGGAGTGAGAATTTCCCAGGATGGGCAGCTTTCTCCAGAAGAGGCTATGGACCTGTTCCCTGAGCAGTCCAATGACTACAGGATCAGCCAGACAATCATGGTAACTTTCCATGGAATCCCCCAATCCACTGTTTTGTTTTTAGTATTGCTCCCACCTGACTCCCTAGACATAAATGTAGGACAGAGCATTTATGTTGGTTTTTAATTGTTTAAGCAGCCCTGTTAAACCAAGTATTTTGACACCTTCCTTTTCAGAATTTCTTTTAGAGGCTTGTAATGTTGTCTGCTGAACTGAAAGGAATACTAAAACACAAAAGCAATCAAACCTTAAGAAACTCAACAAAAATATCTGCTCCTTGAATATTTTTTTTTTATTTTCTGAAGGCTCCTTATGTATAAGGAACATACATAAAATGAACACAACACTGTTGACAATGAACAAAACAGCATTTGATAATTTCCAGCTTTATAAAATTTTTTAAAAATGATTTAGTTATAACAAAAAAAAACAATAGCTCAGCAAGTTATCTTATTGGACCATTATCACATTTAAAACCATAGACTCAGTTGTTAATGGGGAGAGGAAAGAAAAAAATAATAAAAAAAATCACACTGCATCTAGCAACTACAACATTTTCTAAGCATAATCACAGCGGATTGAGTGCAATGTGATTTACATCAGAATTCATATGGGATGTCACACAGTGACAGCATTGTAAAATATA